TCGCGTTGGCTGGCCTCAAGAGGCCTCCCGAGGTTAGTCTGGCCTGGGGCTCTCTCAACACCCTGGCGCCGCCTCCGTCGGCACCCCTCGGGGCGGTGAGGGAGATGTGCTTCTGGGCGTCCCCCTTCGTCCTTCTTCGCCCCCCCTCGTCATTCTTCTCCCCCCCCTCTTCCTTCTTCGTCCCCCCCCCTCGTCCTTCTTCGCCCCCGCGGCCCGAGGTGACGGTCGTCGACAAGGCAAACGTGCTGGAGACCTCGCGGCTGTGGCGCGAAGTCGCCAGGGACGTGCACAAGGACTTCCCTGACGTGGAGATGGAGTGCCTCCCTCCGTTGCGGGGAGCGCCGGGGAGTCAAGGGCGCCCTCGAGGGCGGGAAGCCTCACGTCGGGCATGTCCCTCTACAGGAGGAATATTCCCAAATAGTAAAAAACATAGGGGGACAATATTTTCACAATTTTGACTATTTTGGAATATGTTTGGACTATTTCTCATTTGTCTTCCAACATCGGCCTGTAGGGGGACATGCCCGACCTAAGCGACGCCATTCGCGCTCTTGCGCTTCGCGGTTCGGCTCCTCCTCCTCCTCCTCCTCCTCCTCCTCCTCCTCCTCCTCCTCCTCCGCTTCTCCTCATGAGAGGGCGGCGCGAGAGCGCGAAGTTATTTTCGCGCAGCGCGAAGAAGTTCGACGTTCAGGCGCCCTTGGGGGAAATTGTGTGTGGGAGGGTGGAAGAGGGGGAGCAGGCGAGGGAAAGCGAGGAGGGAAGGGAGGAGGAAGAGTTGATCAGGAGGGGGAGGGAGGGAGGGAGGGAGGAGAGGGGGGGGCTCTGGGCCTTCCCTGGGCCTGGGCGGGGCGACCTCGGCAGAGCAGCGGGAGGAGCCACGGCAGCATCCACCGAGCGCTCCAGGAAAGGCCTCCCTGGCGGAGGGCGGCGGGAGGGCCAGCGGAAGGCGGCGGAAGTGGAGCGGGGACGGCCCCGGCTGCCGGAGTTCGGCGGGAGGCCGGCGGAGGGTGGCGGATGTGAGACACGGGCCCCCCCCGAGAGATGGCATCGCTCTTGGGTTCAGGGTTTCCGGATTCGGCCCTGCACGGTCACGACGTAAGTTGGGCATGCTCCTCTACAGGAGGAATATTCAAGAGTAGTGAGAATAAAAACAGTGACGATGTGTCGAGCCTTTTTGGCTGTTGTTTTTCCCAGCCGTCCTGTGGTGTTGGGCCATCGTCTTGGAGTGACAGCGCACCGCGTTCCTATCCTTTCCTTGCCTCTCCTCTCTTCCTCCCCCTTCCCCTCCTCCCTTCTCCCTCCGTTGCCTCTGCCTCCGCATGTATCCGTTTCGACACACCACTCACACGCTTCGTGGCCCCATAGGGAGCTCCACTGAAGGACCCAGTGGCAAAGTTCTCATGGCGGCCCCGCCTCACTTCGGCGCACCCTTCGCACGTTTTGTTGCCCCCTAGGGCGTTCCACCGAAGGCTCCAGTGGCAAAGTTCGCATGGCGGCCCCGCACCATTTCGGCACACCCCTCACACGCTTCGTGGCCCCATAGGGAGCTCCTCCGGAGGCCCAGGTGGCAAAGTTCGCATGGCGGTCCCGCACCCATGTCGGTTCACCTAGGGAGCTCCACCGAAGGCCCCAGTGGCAACGTTCGCTTGGCGGCCCCGCACCCATTTTGGTGCACCCCTCACGCGTTTTATGGCCCCATAGGGAGCTCCACCGAAGGCCACATTGCCGAAGTTCGCATGGCGGTCCCGCCCCGTTTCGGCGCACCTCTCACACGTTCCGAGGTCCTAGGCCCCAGTGGCAAAGTTCGCATGGCGGCTCCGCCCCAGTTCGGCGCACCCCTCCCACGCTTCGTGGCCCCACGGGGAGCTCCACCGAAGGCCCCAGTGGCAAAGTTCGCATGGCGGTCCCACCCCGTTTCGGCGCACCCCTCACACGTTCCGTTGCCCCCTAGGGCGTTCCACCGAAGGCCCCAGTGGCAACGTTCGCATGGCGCCACCGCCCCACTTCGGCGAACCCCTCACACGTTCCGTGGCCCCACGGGGAGCTCCACAGAAGGCCCCAGTGGCAGGGTCCGCATGGCGCCATCGCACCAATTTCGGCTCACCACTCACGCGTTTCGTGACCCCAAAGGGAGCTCCACCGAAGGCCCCACTGGCAGGGTTCGCATTGCGCCACCACGCCCATTTCGGCACACCCCTCGAGCGTTTCGTGGCCCCACAGGGAGCTCCACCGAAGGTGGGACTCACAACTGCGGCATTCACGATTGCATTTGGGGCCCGTCGCCAGGATGATTCAATGTGTCCGGCCTCTCTCTCCTTTGTGCCCGCAATCCGTCTGTGGGAGGACGTGCCCGACCCAAGTCGAGACCTTGCCAGAAGGACCACGTTGAGGTCGGCGAGGGGCCCCCGTCTTCGGGCCGGTCCTTTTGAGGTCCAGGCTGGGGAACCTACTCCGAGCTTCTTAATAAGCGCCGGGGGGGCGTCACCCTCGCCGACAGGCCCACATCAACCCCCGTCGCGGGTAGCCACCGCGCGCCGAAGGCGCTCCGACCCCCGTCGCAGCGCGACGACGCGGCGAGGTTGACCCCCGTCGGGGTGGTACTCCCCCCACGCCTTATTGAGCAACCCAGAGTGCTCGAGGCCAGTGCCCGCCATGTCCAGACAAGCCCTTCCGTTCCTTGCTCGGCGCTCTCCACGGCAACACGACGGCTGTCTGATGTGTTCGTGGGCCTCGTGTGCTGAGCCAACTTGCCGGCGGGCGCCCGCGGTAAGCCCCCAGCGGCGGCGAACGGAGGAGGAGGAGGAGGAGGAGGAGGAGGAGGAGGAGGGAGGAGGAAGAGGAGGATGTCGAGCAGTGGCGAAGCGTCCTGGCTTGCCTAGAGGCCCAGCAAAGGATGTTCTAAGAACCTCTTGTTGTCTGCGCGAAAGGTTATTACAATATTGTTGGCTTTGACTGTCATATGTTAACACGTCGGATTCATTCAACGGGCACAGAGCGGTACAACATAAACTTGTTCGCTGTAGGGGGCGCCTGTCCCAGGGCGGCTTCAAAATTTGTCCCCTTACGGTGGCACGTCAAGGTAGAAACTTTCCAGCCGCCCAGGGGCAGCGCCCCCGGCGTCCGAACAGTTTATGTTGTACCGTTCCTCGCCCGCTCACTTATGTCCTAAGAACATTGTTGTTGCTCGTAGTACATGTTGGGCTGGTAAGAACATCACGCGGTAGGCCTATAGCAGTGCCAGGACGGTCGGTCCCTGCTCAAGGAGGAGGAGGAGGAGGAGGAGGAGGACGCCCACCACGGCGACGTTGACGAGGACGAGCGGACCCCCCCTTCTCCGGCCTGCGAGGCCCCCCTCCGCACGGGGGGCAACGGGTTCTGAGGGAAACGCGTCCTGAGGTTTGTTGCCGTGTTGGGCTTCCCGGGGCCCTCCACGGCCCCCGGGAATGTCAGAAAGCGACTCAGGATGAAGATCTCGTCCTGGGGGAAAGGCCCCAGGGTCCATGACCCGCTTCCCTCAGGACCCGTTTCCGCCATGCTGACATTGCTCCCGAGCAGGGCGAGGGCCTCGGGATGCCGAACAGCCTCTTTCCTCGAAGTCCGCCCCCTGCTCGCGGAGGTGGCCAGTGCCCAGACCTCCAGCGCCCCGGCAAGACATGACGGACGGTTTGGACGGTGTCGGCCTCACGGAGCCGGAGCTCGTGCGTTGATTCAGCCGTGGTCGGCACGGCTTTGACATCCGATTCGGTCCGGGACACAGCGGCTGCCGTTCTGTGGGAGTTTTCCCAACCATCCTGTGGTGTTGGGTCCTCGTTTTGAGGAGACAGCGCCCCGCGTTCCTCTCCTCTCCTCTCCTCTCCCCTCCTCTCCTCTCCTCTCCTCTCCTCTCCTCTCCTCTCCTCTCCTCTCCTCTCCTCTCCTCCTCCCCTTGCTCTCTCCTCCCTCCCTTGCCTCTGCCCTCCGCATGTACCTGTTTCGGCACACCATTTACACGCCTCGTGGCCTCATGGGGAGCTCCACCGAAAAACCCAGTGACAAAGTTCGCATGGTGGCCCCGCCTCACTTCGGCGCATCCCTCACACGTTTCGTGGCCCCATCGGGAGCTCCACCGAAAGCCCCAGTGGCAAAGTTCGCATGGCGGCCCCGCCTCACTTCGGCGCATCCCTCATACGTTTCGTGGCCCCATAAAGAGTTTCACCGAAGGCCTCAGCGGCAAAGTTCGCATGGCGCCAGCGCCCCATTTCGGCGCACCCCTCACACAATCCGTGGCCCCATGGGGAGCTCCACCGAAGGCCTCAGTGGCAGGGTTCGCATGGCGCCACCGCACCCATTTCGGCACACCCCTCACACGTTTCGCCGAAGACCCCAGTGGCAGGGTTCGCATGGCGCCACCGCACCCATTTCGGCACACCCCTCACACGCGTCGTGGCCCCATGGGGAGCTCCACCGAAGGCCCCAGTGGCAAAGTTCGCATGGCGGACCCGCCCGACTTCGGCGCACCCTTCACGCGTTCCGTGGCCCCACAGGGAACTTCACCAAAGGCGGGGCTCACAAATGTGGTACTCACAATGCATGTGGTTGGGCCCTTCGTCAGGATAAGTGTTTTAGACTCTTGTTTAGGAACAGGAGAGGAAGACGATGGTGGAATGGGGCCAGACGAGCGACGGTGGCGGCGGCGGCGAGTGGCTCGGACGAGAGTGGTGTCATGATGCGATGGTGTCAGGATGCGCTCCAGGATTTCTCGACTATCCAGCGGCCCTTGCCTGTGCAGCCCGTCGGGAACAGTAGGAGGAAATCTTGGGCTATCCTGACAACCTTGTAACGTATCACCATCATGTCCTGCTTGTCCCCTGAGAGGGAGAGAAGCAGCAGGGCCTGGAGCGACGTACCAGTGTGAGTAACGTGGACTCGTCGGGTCGTCTGCCTTCGGGGTTATATTACGTCAGGGTTGCGGCGACGCCCGGCGGAGGTTTATGTACGTGGACAACGCTGCCATGCAGGTCATCACAAAGCCCGCCGCCTTCGACGTCATCGCCACCGAAAACATGTTCGGAGATATCCTCTCGGACGCCCTGGCCATGCTGCCAGGCCAGCGCGCAAGTGGAGGAGGCGGGCTCAAGGGAGAAGGAGCGCGCACAGGGGCGACAGCGCCTTGGTCACGCGAAAGGACGTGCCGGTACGTAACCGCGCTTCACGTGTCGGGCCAGGGGGTAGTTTTCCTTCAGGAAGCTGGACCAGGACGCGGAGACAGCCGTGCTTCGCACATCGCGAGGCCCAAAGGCATGTGGCATAGCGGCGTAGGATGACCGGCCATGATGTACGTGTTCGCATTGATGTCCTCATCGCGCGGTTCTCGTCAGCATGCCCCTCACACTGGATGTCACGACCGATTTTGAGCGCACTCGTCACACATACGCTGCAACCTAAGACGGCCTTTCCCGCAAGAGATCAGCATGTGGTGTAGTGTCGCGGCGGAGGAAGCGTGTGTGCCTGTGTGTGTATGTGTCTGTGTGGCTGTGTGAATTTATGTGTGTTTGTATGTCCCCCAAACGGTGCACTTGTTTGTCATGAGGAACCGGGCCTGTCTGGCGGTGCTCCGTGGTCATCGTCGCCTCCTCGTCGCCGCTCGTCGTCGGGGCCTGTCTGGCGGTCTGGCGGCTCCGTGGTCGTCGTCGCCGCCCCGTCACCGCCTTGTCGCCGCCCGTCGTCTGGGCTTGCGTGACGGTCTGGCGGTTCTGTGGTCGCCGTCGCCGCCCCGTCGCCGCTTCGTCGCCGCTTCGTCGCCGCCCGTTGTCTGGAGCTGCGTGGCGGTCTGGCGGCTCTGTGGTCGCCGTCGCCGCCCCGTCGCCGCTTCGTCGCCGCTCGTTGTCTGGGCCTGCGTGGCGGTCTGGCGGTTCCGCGGACGCCGTTGCCTCCCCATCGTCGCCTCATCGCCACCCGTAGACCTTTCTTTTTAGAAAAAGAACAGGATCTACCCCCCTGGAGCTTATATATGCCATGGCGTAAGTAATGCGATTTTCCTTGTTCCTAAATGTGAACTGATCCCATCCTGGGCAGCCCGGTATCGCCCCCTCCGTCATCCTCGGCAAAAAACTATGCGCGCGCCGTCGTTTATCAAAAACGAACGGTTGTCAGAAGTCCCTTGTAGTAGATGGGACGAAGTGCACTTGCTGTCGTAGCGGGCATGCCAACATACTTCAAAAACCATGGGTGTCGAAGGATCTCCAAATCTAATGCGCCGAAACGTACAACATTCCATGGGTTCGAAACACGAATTTCTAAAACAAAGATTGCGCCCGCGTTTCTGTAAATTATTCAAACCACTACGAGGTTTTCAACATGTTTTAAACCATGCAAGCAAGTGTGTGTCTCGCGCGCATGTCGAAATCGAGTGGACGCCCTTTGCGCGCGTATTCTCGCAATAATTCCTTGCAGCGCCCGGGAAAAAAGGCACACGCGCGCGTCGTCGCGCGCGCATGCTGACATCCTTCAAAACTTCAGGTTCTGAAAGGATTTCAAAATTGAGTGTCCCGGACAACTCTAACAAACACATGGCTTCGCAACAAGACGCTGTGTGTGTGCGTGTGCGGGCGTGTGTGTGTGTGTGTGTGCGTCCGTGTGTGTGTGCGTGTGTGTGTGTGTGTGTCTGTGTATGTGCGTGTGTGTGTGTGTGCGTGTGTGTGTGTGTGTGCGAGTGTGTGGGTGAGTGAGTGAGTGAGTGAGTGAATGAGTGTGTGCGTGTGTGTGTGTGTGTGCGTGTGTGTGTGTGTGTGCGTGCGTGCGTGTGTATGTAGGTGTGTGTGTGTGCGCGTGCGTGCGTGCGTGCGTGTGTAGGTGTGTGTGTGTGTGTGTGTTCATGCGTGCGCGTGTGTGTGTGTGTTCATGCGTGCGTGTGTGTGCGTCGTGCGTGTGTTTGTGCGTGTGTGTGTGCGTGCGTGAATGTGTGTGTGTGCGTGTGTGTGTGTGTTTGTGTGTGCGTGCGTGTATGTATGTGTGCGTGTGTGTGCGCGTGCGTGTTCGCGCGTGCGCGTGTGTGTGTGTGTGTTCGTGTGCGTTTGTGTGCGCGTGCGTGTGTGTGTGTGTGTTGTGTTTGTGTGTGTGTTTGTGCGGTTGGTGTGCGTGTGCGTGCGTGTGCGCGTACGTATGTGTGTGGCGTGTGTATGTGTGCGTGTGTGCGTGTGTGTGTGTGTGTGTGTGCGTGTGTGTGTGTGTGTGTGTGCGTGTGTGTGTGCGTGTGTGTGTGTGTGTGTGTGCGTGTCGTGTGCGTGTGCGTGTGCGTGTGCGCGTACGTATGTGTGTGAGCGTGCGTGTGTGTGCGTGTGTGACTGTGTGTGTGCGTGTGTGTGTGTGTGTGTGCGTGTGCGTGTTGTGTTGTGTGCGTGTGCGTGTGCGTGTGCGCGTACGTATTGTGTAGCGTGCGTGTATGTGTGCGTGTGTGCTGTGTGTGGTGTTGTGGTGTCTGTGTGTGCGTGTGTGTGTGTGTGCGTGTGCGTGTGCGTGCGCGTGCGCCGTGTGCGTGTGCGTGTGACGTATGGTGTGAGCGTGTATGCGTGCGTGTGTGCGTGTGTGTGTGCGTGTGTGTGTGTGCGTGTGTTTGGTGCGTGTGTGCGTGTGTGTGTGTGTGTGTGCGTGCGTGCTGGGCGTGCGTGTGTGTGCATGTGTGCGTGTGTGTGTATGTGTGTGTGGATGTGTGTGTGTGTGCGTGTGTGTGTGTGTGTGTGTGCGTGGATGTGCGTGTGTGCGTGTGTGTGTGTGTGTGTGTGCGTGCGTGTGTGTGTGTGTGTGTGCGTGTGCGTGTGCGTGTGCGTGTGCGTGTGTGTGTGTGTGTGTGTGCGTTCCTTGTCGTTCGAACACGTAGTCATGAGCAGGGCGGGCGCGAAAGCACGGCGGCTTGGCCGGGCTCCCTGGAGTTTCACGGCCACCCCGTGGGCCAAGCATTGTTGAGTCCTCTCCCTACCAGTCAGGAAGACAGTGATCGGGTTGGGAGGATAGGACTGTTGGGTAGCAAGGCATGGGAGCCTGGCGTACCCTTTTGATTTCGTCTTTAGCGTCGACTGGCGTCGATTAGCGACTGGGAGTCGATGAGATAGTGCTGATTTAGCGTCGGTTAGCTTCGATTGGCTTCAATTGTGCGTCGATTAGCGTCGACTAGCGTCGATTAGCTTCGATTCGCAAGAGCCGACAAGATGGTATGGGAGGCTCCCATGAGTTGCCACCGAAGGGTTGGGAGAAAGGATCATGCCATCAATATTGCCGCGTATGCTGATGGTGCCTACTGCGCAGTCGTGCCCTGAATCATCCCAGCCCCTTCATCCCAACACGACAACTGTCTGTCTCAATTCTCAACCGGGTCCTGTCCGAGCAGATGCACGCTCGACCGTAATCGTCTGCACACACGTTTCGATAAATCACGACCGAGCCCTTGCCGGGGACTTGCCGCACGGTTCGAGCAATTCTTTTTGACCGGCTGGGCAGCCTGGATCTCCGACGTCGTGATTTTTCTCACAGCGCGGACCCCTTGAGGTCTACACCCCTTGTCCGGGACTGGTTTTCCATCCCGAGTGGTTGTTTCCCAGGGCCCATAGATTGCCCCTAGAGGCTGACGAGAGGAGGTCGGTCGGGCGATTAATGGAGCGGGGCGGAGAAAGGCGCACCTTTTGTTCACCATAGGGGGCTCCAAAAGGGGCCCCACAGGCCAAACGGGGCACGAAAGGAACCCCATTCGTCGTCCCCCGCATGCATCGCCCCCCAATTCAGCAACGCCCAAGCGGGGGATGGAGACGGCACCTGGACGCCGAAAAAAGTGCGAATCCCTCCCGGGCGCGAGCCCTGCTGAAGTCCCCTGATGGGGTCTGGGTCGCTCCTTGGGGGCTCGACGACTGCTCGTGTATATCAGACTTCTGGGGCCGCATCCGAGAAGTCGAGGTCGATTCCGATAGATCGAGGCACATGCATACTCAGACGGGGCGTTCCAAACAGGGCCTTGCCTTCGAGGATCGAAGGCGTTGCCGTCTCTTCCTCGGGGGAAGGCGGCGGAAGGCGGCGGAAGTAGAAGGATGGCGCCTCCGCCCGCGGAAGGTCAGCGGGAGGTCGGCGCAGAAGCCAGCGGATGTAAAACGTTGCCCTCCAAAAGATAACAACATGCTTTGTTTCAGGGTCTCCGGAACTCCTCGGCGGCTGAAACTCCAGGCAGATCCAGAGATCCCAAAATGAATCTGGAGGAAGCCGTGGGCGCCCCAGCGCCGGCCGAGGGGCCGCAGCCGTCCTTATTATGGATCCATCCACGGGGGGCCGTGCCGGGTGCCGCGCGGCACAGCTCAGGCTCCCTGGGGCTGATGCCTTCGGCGTCCCTCGGCGACACGATCCACATGCGCCCCCCCGCACGCCGCCCCAGCGACTCTCCGGCCAGGCCGGCCCCCTCTGCCCGTGCCCGGCCTGCGTCGGCTGTCCTTCTTCTTCGCACCCCCTCTTGGATTCGTTCTCCTCCGCCTCTTCGCCGCGTCGCCCTTCTGGTCCTCCTCCACTTCCCACTTCCCCCTCCTCCTCCCCTGGTCCTCTTCTCCAGGCACCTCCTGCCTCGTTCTCGTCTTCGCCGCCCTCCTCCCCGTCCACCCTGCTTCTGCCTCCTCCTCCTCTTCTTCCTCCTCCTCTTCTTCCTCCTCTCCTTCCTCCCCCCCCTCTTCCCTCTCCCTCTCCTTATCCTCCCTCCCCCCCCTCCCTCCTCCCCCCCCCCACCCTTCCCTCCTCGCCTCCTCGCCTCCCTCTTCCTCCGCCTCCTCCTCCACCTAAGTCCTTGCTGCATAGCACTCACGCAGGGGAATTACGCATACGCTCTACACTGCACCTTCCCGGGCGCATTGACGTTGACCTCCTCATGCGGATGTCCTGTCCTGTCTTCCTTGCCCCCTGCAGGCATCCTCCCCCTCCCCCTCCACCTGTATCCTCCCTGCCCTCCGCAGCCGCGCTGGCTCGAGCCAGTCTGGCTCGCGGCGGACCACCCGGAGGCGCTCGGTGGGCGAGATCCTCCTGCCAGGGCCTGGTGGGGAGGTCCTCCTCCTTCTCCTCCTCCTCCTCCTCCTCCTCCCTGGTCCTCCTCCTCTTCTCCTCCTCCTCCTCCTCCTCTCCTCCTCCTCCCCTCCTCCTTCCTCCTCCTCCTCCTCCTCCTCCTCCTCCTCCTCCTCCTCCTCCTCCTCCTCCTCCCTCCTCCTCCTCCTCCTCCTCCTCCTCCTCCTCTCCTCCTCCTCCTCCTCCTCCATCCTCCTCATCCTCCCTCCTCCCTCCTCCCTCGTCGTTGTCGTCGTCGGCGTCGCCGTCCTCCCTCCTTCTTCTTCGTTCGCGTCGTCGCCGTCCTCCCTCCTCCCTCGTCGTTGTCGTCGTTGCCGCCGTTGTCGTCCTCCATCGTCGTCGTCGTCGTCGTCGTCGTCTTCGTTGGCGACGTCATCGTCGTCGTTTTCGTTGTCGTCGCCGTCCTCCCTCCTCCCTCGTTGTCGTCTTCGTTGGCGACGTCGTCGTAGTCTTCGTCGTCGTCGTCGTCGGCGTCGGCGTCGTCGTCTTCGTCGTCGTCGACGTCGGCGTCGTCGTCGTCGTCGCCGCCGTCGTCGTCGTCGTCGTCGTCGTCGGCGTCGTTGACGTCGTCGTCGTCGGTGTCGTCGTTGTTCTCGTCGTCGGCGTCGTCGTCGGCGTCGGCGTCGTCGTCGTCGGTGTCGTCGTCGAAGTCGTCGGAGACGTCGTCGGTGTCGTCGTAGTCGTTGTCGTCGGTGTCGTCGTAGTCGGTCTTAAGAGGTTTTGCAAACCAAGTTGCGGGTGGGTGGGTGGGATGTTTGCAAGAGCATGGGATGGGTCAACTCATGGGTAAAAATCAATTGCACCACATAGATTGTACAACATCTAATGCACAACGCTGATTGCACAGCATATATGGTACGACATGTCTTGCACCACGCATATTGCTGCACACAGGTTGATTCGCGTAGAGTGCACAATCGATGTAGCAAGGAACACACAGTTTGTGGCCCACATTTGTTTACATGTTCGGGCCCAGGGTTCCCAAAATAGTCCATGTGTCGCCGCTATCGCGCGTTTTGCTGGCAAGAATTACCATGATCGTGCTCTTCCGGGCGTTTTGAATGTTCACGTGCTGGTGTTCGGCAAGCGCGGTTGCAATTCTGATCGGTGGTGGGAATTGCCAAGCGGGTGTTGCCCAACAGATGTAGGAAGCAGGTCATACGCGATCGTTTTGTAACGCAAGCGTCGTGGAGTGGCCGTGTGTACATTCTCACACGGCTTGAGCCATTAAGCTTCCCCCGAAACAATTTTTCCACCTTCACTCCTTCTCCCCAAGCATTTATTATGAAAACCATCCCACCCCCCTGTTCTCCCCCCCTTGTCCTAGCTGTTCTTCCTCAGTCCTGCCTTTGTCTGTGGCCTGATTGCAAAACGTTGCGGGCGATTCTCCACTAGGGATTCTCCTGGTCAGCGTCGGTTCTTTGAGGCCCTCGCACATTTGCACCATGATGTAAAATGTTGTGCCACAAATTTCTGGAACAAACAGGTGGTGCGGTCAGACGTATGTTTCGGAATGGCTTGCGCAGAGACGTGTAGTAGTATTGCGCAGAGACGGAAAGTCTTGCGCAGGAATGGGGGGGGGGAAGGGTGATGTGTCGGCGAACGACGTCGCATAAGAAGACGAACACATTGGATTTACATTAACTTTCGGGGGTCCGCCCGCATTTCTTGGATCAGCGCTGGAGGCGCCGCCAGAGGGGTCAGCGCCGATCCGAGAAATCCGCGCGGAGCTCCGACACTGTATGTTTATGAGATGTCATTCGTCTTCCAAAATTGGGAGGGCGTGGAGAAAGATTTGGAGGAGGACGAGTCGCCATGCAGGAAACGGGTCCCGAGGGAAACGGCTCCTGAAATGGTCTTCCTGTTTGGCTTCCCGGGGCACTCCACGGGCCCCGGGGCTGTCGGAAAAGGGCCCAGGATGCATGTCCCGTCCGCGGGGAAGGCCCCGGGATCCAGGACCCGCGTCCTTCAGGACCCGCTTCCCAGCGCGAAGCGAGGACGCTGGCCCTCGGACGAGGGCCCTCCGCAGACGGTGTTGAAAAACGACGACGCTGCTCGGCGGCGAGCGAGAAAGGGGGGGGAGGAGGAGGAGGAGGAGGAGGAGGAGGAGGAGGAGGAGGAGGAGGAGGAGGAGGAGGAGGAGGAGGAGGAGGAGGACAAGGAGGAGAAGGAGGAGGAGGAGGAGGAGGAGGCGGCCGCGGCAGCGGAAGAGGACCCGCCTCGGCCTGCCCGCGGCGGGCCCCACGGGGTGCTCAGGTACGAGCCGAGTGGAGGCAGCGCCCCCGACATCGCGGGCAAGGCGGGTCCGCACGCCCGCGGCCACGCGCAGAGGGGGGGCACGGCAGGTTCGCGTCGTGTCGACCGGCGGCGACCCCACCAGCTGCGTTCAACTCTGAACGCCGCGGGCGACCCAGAATCGTTGGATGTGGAACGGTTTGGACGTTTCGGAAACGGCTGATCGTTCAAGGTTGGACGATCCCCGCGGTGTCAGAAACCAACGCCGAAGTCGGCACGACACGAACTTGACGTAGGGGGATGGGGAAAGGCGTGTTAGTTCGGTCGCAGATCATGGGAGCCTGGCGTGCCCTGTCAATTCCATCTCTAGCGTCGACTAGCGTCGAATAGCGTCTGCGAGACGATGAGATAGCGCCGACTTAGCGTCGGCTAGCGTCGGTTAGCGTCGACGTAGCGTCGATTAGCGTCGATTGGCGTCGATTTAGCGTCGATTTAGCGTCGATTCGCAAGAGCCGACAAGATGGTACTGGAAGCCCCCATGAGTTACCACCGAATATTCAAAGCATCTTGCTTCTCACAATCGCCAAGCGCGATCCACGACTCGCGCAGTGCCCAGTCGCAAGCGTCCGAGATGCAAACGCCTGCCTCGATGTGATGGACCGCAAATTCCCGGCGGCGGATCCATGCCATTTGCGAGTAGTTACTTTGTGAGTAGTGGAACGCGCTAACCTACAGCAGGCGCGGGCTTTTTCTACCGGCACCTTCCAAGAAGCACCCCTCTTCTGAGAAGTATTCCCCCTTCCCCTGCCCCCTTATGCGCGCCGACGACGCCCCACTCAGCATATCAGCGTCGCCGCAACGGGGTGTAGTAATTACGATGGGCTTCTCAACTCGGAGGAGGAGAAGGGTACCGACATCGCGACCCTTGTCCAGTTGTTTCGCCTGCTTGGGCCTCCTGGGAGACCCTCGTCGCCACGGCTCGAAGTTCTGTTCGGTCTTGGGGAATAGTGGTACAGTATCTTCCGGTCCCCTTCTGAACGTACGTTTAGGACACGTGGGCCGTGTTGCTGCTCCACGAATTACCGTTGCCCCGATGCTCTTGGGCACGCCCCCGCGCGAAATGGAGCTTTCCATTGGGCACTTCCTTGCCCCAGGCGGGTGTTTCGATTCCTCGAAGTTGTCTTTTAGAAGCCTCTGAGGCAAACAGACTCGTTCCAGCAGCCTCGCCTCGCCCAAATTTTACCGGGGCGTGGGTCGTCACAGAGGGCCTCCTGCGCACTGCGGACTGGGTTGCGGGCGAAAGCGCGCACGATGGCAGCAGTTCTGGTTGTTGTTTGCGTTCTTGGCAGTGCGGGTCCGCTCAGATGGTTCGAGCTCAACATCCTCTCATCATGTCTCTCCTGATGTTGTTCTCGCAGGCCTAGAGATTGACACCAACACCAATATCGGCTGTGTACATCCACCGAGGGAAGAAGATCCCGATCTCGGCGATTGTGGTAATATCCTGGCTTCCAAGGTGACCGAACTATTGTCACCAACGCCGAAATCTAGGATCATCTTTCCCCTGGAGGCAACCCCCTTATGTTGGTGTTGGTGCCCATGTCCAGGCCTCCAATGTTCCTCTCTCCTCGGCCAGTTCCTGCATACGTTGACCGTCTTGTTGGCCCTGATCATCGATTCGCGCACGTGCCACAAGCAATTCCACATTGCATTCGCATCAAACATAGATGATCAGAATCGCAACTCCCACGAGAACGGCCATTGGTGCACAGCATATGCAGTGTGAGCGCGATACGAATAATAGCACCTACAGCGTCAGTAAGACAAGCGCACATAAATTGGGGACCTGGGATACGGCTCGCTGGGTCAGAATTCGGACCAGAAAGGGTTTATCTGAGGGCTAGGCCGTTTGTTTCTGGGTCCAAGATCGTTGGCAAATGCGGCAACATTACTCCCAAGGCGGCCCATGATGGCCCCAAGTCAGTCCAAGGTGCCTTGACGACGGCCCGAGTGGACACACAAACACAGCCCAAGGAAGCTCCCCAATGTTGCCGTGTCGGAGGCCCCAGAGACGCCGCAAGATGCGATGCCTCTCGAGAGGAGGCGCAGCGCATTGTATCAAAAAGTTTGGTGGAGTGCACAGACGCAGGGCAAAGGTGGGGCGCCCGGCGCTCGACAACGCAACCTTAGGGCAGATCCATTCCGCGCCGCCAGAGATGATGAAGAGACCAGATGTCTCGGCTCCAGCAATTCCACTGATCCCTGCGGCAGGAGTTCGACAACAGTTGCGAATCGAATGCCCAGAGCGAATCGAAGGGCCCCGCGGAGCCGTTGCAGTGCCCGCGCAGGTTGGCACCAGTCGACGGCGCTGGCGGCGCGCGCGCGCGCTGTCTTGACACTTTGATGACTGCTGGTCTGCGCGTTGCCTGGCCGAGTGCGCGCCGCTTGCGCGAAATCTGGCGGCGGCGGGGGGCGGGGCATAGCGCTCGCGTTTGAGTGATGCAGGAAGCATCGCGCACTGCGTTCGGACGAAACGGCCCAGCGGGACAGGGAGACAACAGCGCCGCGCGCGGCGGCCACGCTGGGCGGCCTGCTGGCGGAGAGGCACGGTGTCTCATGGATTGCGGCGCAAGGTGATCAAGGCAACGGCGTGCGCTCGCGTGAGACGAAGCGCAACGGCATGCGCGGGCGATGCAACGCGTCTGGAGGATGCCCGCCCACAGCGTCCCGTCCACAGCGTCCCGTCCACAGGGTCCCGCCCGCCCAGTGGGCATCAGCCTTTGTTGCCCCGCGTGCCCCCTTTGGTGTTTGTGTTCCACGCGCTGGCGCCGTGCAGTGGAAACCAATGCCAAGAAACACCCTGCTTGCCTCCAGGGTGCCCTGGGTTGCTTGGGTTTTGATGGCTTTGCTATGGAAAGCGTGACGTTCCCACGCCAAAAATCAATGGGCGTCCTGGGGTCTCAGGGTTGGGTTTCTGGTGGCAGGTTTCTTGCGGACTGGCCTCCACTTCACTGCGAGAGACGTCGCAGTGACACTAGCATCCTACCAACGCAGATGGCAGCAGTATGTGTCGCAACGACCGTAGTATCAAAGCTGTGGCCACCTAGAAAAGGCGCAGGCAGCGACAGGAGTAACAAGGGCAAGCGAGATGGCAGCGGCAGCGTTCGCCGAAAGTGGCCCGAACATGACAACGATGATACGGTGGGGGCGTTATTTAAGGAATGTGACCAGGAGGCTTCAGGCCCAGGAGGATTCCTTATCCAATGGGGGCGGCGGTGATACCCATGGCCACTCCACAGGTGGAGTTCCGCGGGCTTCCAGACCCTGGATTCCTTATCCAGCGGTTCCTTATCCAATGCCTTCACCGTCTGGCAGGCGCCCCTGCCCACTCCAGGCGCGAGGCCCGATGAGGCAATGCGCGAGTTCTTCGACAAGGCGGAGGTCCACCTGATTGCCATGTTGGGTGTCAGTGGCGGCCCCAAGTACCGCGGCAGAGCGGACGGGCTCAAGCGGGTAGAGATCAGCCTCAAGGACCTCCAGCGTACGGAGACCTCCAGAAAGGTAAGCCCTTTGACGAGGCTGTGGCTCTCACTCGGCAGGCTAGTCAAGCAACTCAGGGCAGCGGCTTCGGTCTCAGAGCCAGCCAAAGGCCATGCGCTATACATGAAGCACCTGGGGCAGGCGATCTTCTCCCTGGCAGTTCAGTTCGGCGGCTTGGGCAACCCGATGTTCAACGGCACCAAGATGGATACGATAGTCCACGAGGTCAGGCGCGGCTCCCTTGACGGGCTGCAGGTGATGAAGGCCATCGCCAGGGTCACTGACAAGCACGTCAAGGGCGATGCGTCTGCAGCTAGGACCCGCTGGAAGGAGTTCGTGGACGAGTCGCTGGCCGGAGGAGGCCGTGGAGCTCATGGTATTAGCAAGAAGGTCCACGGCGAGGCGAAGCCGATCTTGGCGGACGGCAGCGGCGACTCGCCTCCTGTACCACTGGTGGGCCAAGCGGCCTTGGATCAGATGCTAGTGGAATGGAAGGCCCTGTGGAGCAGCGGGGACGGCCAGCAGACTAGGCCTGCTGACTGGCACACCGCGTCGGGCCTGCCCCCGATCACGGCCGAGCAGGTGCTAGCGGCGGCGAAGACGTTCGCGAAGAAGACGGCGCTCGGATGGGATGGCTTCCACCCCAGGCTGCTGACGATGCTAGGAAGGCCGCTTGCGCAGCGCATGGCTGACGTGCTGACGCAATGGGAAAGGCACCCACAGCCGACGGCGATGTTCACCACGCCCATCGTCTTCTTGGGCAAGCCTGGGGGAGGACATCGCCCCATCGGCCTGATGTGTTTTTGGCTCCGGGTTTTGGGGCAGGATTCGCAGGCAGTATTGTTTACATTGGGAGCGCGACCACCGCCTTCCTGAGATTTGGGGCAGCAGCTCTGACACCTGCTGCGATAGAGCAGCGTACTTGCACAACTTGTACCTAGGCCTCGCTCGGAAGGTCGGCTTCGACGGTGTCTCGGTATATTTTGACATAAGCAAGTTCTACGAGCGGATCGACCACGGGCTGCTCCTGAAGGCGGCCGAGCTAAATGGATTCTGCACAGGCTTGGTGCGTGCGCTCTGCGTGGCATACTCGGGACCGAGGAGAGCTACTGCAGACAGCGCCGTCAGCGAGGAGATCCATGCGAGGGGCACGGTCATCGCAGGCTGCTCGTGCGCGACAACGATGGTCAGGCTCATGCTGATGGACCTTCTTGTCAAGAGCCGAGCCAAGCCCCCCATCGGTCGGATCGTCAACGTGATTGACGACATCTCGGGCAATGGAATCGGATCCAGAGGTGTGCTGGTCAGTCAGGTGGACAGCTTCGTCCAGGGCGTCGTGGCGATGCTGAGGGACAAGCGGCTCCCGATCAACTGGGGCAAGACGAAAGTGCTGGCCTCCTCGGTGGACATCCAGCGCGAGCTGATGAAGCAGGAGGGGTGGCCGCTGGACAGGGCCGCCTTTGCTCAGGGACACCGAGATCTCGGTGGTGACGCGACGGCTGGTGGTCACCGCATGGTGGCGACGCAGGTCAAGCGTGAGCTGGATGCACTCCGTCAGGCAGCGCGACTGACACGCATCTTCGGACCTGGGCTTCGGCAAGCTCGGGTGATGCGAGCTGGGCCGACGGCCAAGGCGCTCTGGGGCTCGGCCATCGCTGGAGTCCCACCTGGGCGCATGAGGGCGCTGAGGGTGGCAGCTGCGAAGAGCGCTGGTCGCTTGCCGCCTGGAGCGGCCCTCAGTTTCGCCCTGCAGTGCGCGCCCCGCGGCTGGCGGCAGGACCCGCTGGTTGTTGCAGCGGGCATGGCAGTTCAGGCGTTCGTCAACGTGGCGTGGTCTGGACAAGCCACTGCATCAGCCAGCCAAGCGTGCATCCAAGAGAGCCAGCAGGTGCTCAGCAAGCAGCGGCCTTGGAGTGCGGTCCGTCAGCCGATAGCGGCGCTCACGCTCACCCTGCAGAGGATAGGCTGGCAGCTCTCCGTCGACGGCACCAAGCTGCTGGACGAGGACAAGGGGGAGTTCGAGGTGCTGCATTTCTCGCCCGCGTTCCTGGCGGAGAAGGCCAGGGAGGCCACGAGGAACGCGGCTGCGCTTGAGGAGGCTCGAGCTCGTCCTGGATCGCTCTGGCCATGGAAGCTGCCGCCACAGTGGAGGCCAGTCAACGAGCTGCTCGGCAAGAAGGAGACGGAGACCTGGACTGTGCACCACAAAGGCTGCCTGCGCTGGCTCGTCTCGCTCTCGCACTGGCCCCAGGACCGTCTTGCGAGGCACTCCTCGGACATCGACCCGATCTGCAAGCTATGCCAGGCTGCGCGAGGCACGATGTTCCACAGGCACCACGTATGCCCAGCTTGGGCACCTTGGCGGCGTGACAGGCTGCCGTCCGACCTGAAGCGTGCTGCTTGGTTGGTCCACGAGATGGGCCCGCCGTTCGATGAGCTGTTCTGCCAGGGCCTGTTCGTGGACCCCTCCCTGCTGTTGCATCGTCCGTGCTGGCAGCCTCAATGGGAGCGGCTCTCTCATGGTTGGCATGAAGCAGTTGTGGTCGAAGACGGTGCCATGGTTTTCACCGACGGCCCCTGTATCCTCGGAGACTTTCCGCGCCTGCGCAGCGCGGGCTGGCCGGTCGTCGTGATGTCCAAGGAAGGAGCGATCTTAGCAGAGGCGTGGGGGGCGGTTCCCCCCAGTCTATGCCCATCGCAGACGGCACGTGCTGGAGAAGACTACGCAGCGGTGGTGGCGCTCACTGAGGTCATTGGCAACTACCAGCTGCTGGTCGACTGCAAGGGCACAGTGGACTCGGCGCTCAACCTTGGCAGAGCTCAGGGCCCAACTTCGACATACGCCCATCTCTGGGCCAGAGTTGGGGATGCCGCTGAAGGTGTTGAAGTCAAGCACATTCCTGCACATCGGTCAGAAGAGGCAGTGGCCAGAGGAGAGCTATCGGCGATCGAGCTCTTCGGCAACCGCCTAGCAGACAAGCGAGCGAAGGAGGGAGCCGCCCTCCACGCTCTTTCAGCCGACGACGTCCAGCTCCTGGAGGGCTGCCTGGCCAGGGCACGTGCCGCAGCTCGCTTCGCCGCAGAGATCGAGGTCTACATCGCGGACTCTGGGATGCGAGACTGCTGGCCGACAGAAGCCCTGGATAACGTCAACCTCCAGCCGTACCTCTGCCCGTGGAACCTGACGTGCGAGGACGAGGGTTACGGCTTGTTGGACGCCTCCACGGCGCAGCGCGGCAGAGGCTCGGCAGCTGTGACAGCGGCAGCCTTCGCCGCGCCGGCAGCGACCAGCGCAGCGGCAACAGGTGCTGCTGCAGGCGCCGCGGGCGGCGCAGCGGGGCCTGTCCGCAAGCGCCCAGCGGCTGCGCAGAGGGCCGACTCCGCCCCTGCCGCCCCCCATAGCTGCGGGGCCAGGCGAGGTGGGCGCTACTCGTGCTGAGGCAGCGAGCGAGGTGTTTGCGAGAGAGGTTCGGCGCAGGGCTGAGGCCAGGTCGTCCGCAGCGTCCTCTCAGCGCATCCAGCTGGAGGAGGAACGCCCGTCTCCTGCTCTCACGGCTGGAACCGAGCCATGGGTAGTGCACGGCCACAACCTGATGCAGACCAGCGTGGTGAGCAAGCCGAGCGAGGCCATCCTGGTGTGCACGCGCTGCTTCATGTACTGCCACCAGCCGCGGTACGCGCACAGGGGCCTGGCCAAGCCGCGTGTCGGTGGCGATCACAGATTAAGCCAAGGGTCGCGTGCTCAGGCCAGGACGGACTTCGGCAAGTTGCGATTGCCAGGCAAGGAGAAGCCGCCGATCGCGACGCTTAAGGCCCCGACGATGGGGGAGAGGCAGCGCTGGCGGAGGTCGCTCAAGATGGACGACTTCGACGGGCCCATCCCCGAGGTGGACGAGTTCCTGGCGGCGGCGCGTGCTGGCGGCCCTGGCGGCTCGCCAAGGCCTGCGGCTGCACGGCCTGCAGCGGGCCGAGCAGCTGGCGCGGCTGGGCCTGCGGGCGGAGCGGCGGCGGCTTCGGCGAGCGCCTCGGCTACCTCGGGCGCGGCGGCGGTGCAGCCCGCGGTGCGCGAGGGCGTGCAGGAGCTCTTCGTGCCCGCCCTGGAGGGCGTCCTCCGCGCGCACGGCTTCGCGTCGGCGGAGGACGCCCGCGCCCGAGGGCGCGAGGCAGCCCAGGCGCGCGGGGAGCGGGACCGCGCGCGGGAGCTCGGCGCTGCGGCCCCGCGCGCGGCGAGGAGGCGGGGCCAGCGCTGGTGAGCGCCCCCTCCTCGGCCGCCGCGGGGCCCGCCGCAGTCCCGCGCCGTTTGCGCGGGCGAGCGGCAGCGCCCGTGAATTCGCGGCATGACCACGCGGGTGCTTGCGCCCGCTCGAAGAGTTAAATGCCTTCACCGTAACATGACCACGTTGATGCAAGTACAGCCACACGGCGAAGATGCTTGGCGTTGCTCAGTGGACGCCAAGGAATGGCGCATGTTCTGCCCATGTTAGTGCTCTCCGCGGCTGGAACCATGGGCGCAGATAGGCACTTCGAGTAGGGGATCGACTACAGAATTGAGGTACCCGAAAATTGTTTTCCGTCGGATACATACAGAATGCGATCTTTTTGTTTGTAGACCCGACGAGGCACGCAATTTGGGGGTAAATCAATTCTGTAGTTGATCCCCGGCTCGAGCATTGGGACCCTTCACCCTGTCCTCGTCGTTGCCGTTGTTCTGTTCCGCCAGCTTCGTTTACAGGCGCTGAACTTCGGACCACTTTGGGATCAGGAGGGGCCCGGGTTTCCGGGCCGTTCCTCAGGTCTGGGTCGAGGGACCTACTCGTGGACGCGGCCCGCCGTGGCCAGAAAAGCCCATTCGTTCCCCAGTTTAGCGTTCCTTCTGGTGCTCCCATCCCGTTATTCCTATCCCCGCTTCCCCCATGAAGCACCTTCTGGAGGCTTCGCGCGGCGGCAATTATCTGGTCCGCATGTCCTCCCCGTCAGATATGGGACGACGTTCGCGCGGCGATGTTCCGACGGGAGCCCGGCGGAAGTCCGACGGGCATCCGATGCCAGTCCGACGGTAATCCGACGTGGATCCGATGCAAGTTGAATATCAAGCTATCGCGCGAGGAAGTCCATCGTAACTCTACCGCCCTTCCCTCCGCGCCCCCCCGCCGCGAGAACGTCGCCAACCCGGTGGCGCAGATCCTGAGCGCGGCTATGATGTTGAGATATTCGTTCAAGCTCGAGGCCACCACCTGCCACCCTCGCGGCCGACGCACCCCGACGCTGCTCCGCAGACCCCCCTCGCGCCATGACGGGACGTTTCTCGTTGTTTTCGGCTTCCGTGAGCCCTGACAGCCAGCCCGCATAGTAAGGATGAGTCCCCTAACGTTCCCAAGTGTACCCCTGCAACCTTGCCTCCTCGGCCCATCCTTGGCCGCTTTCGCTGGCCGCGCCTAGCTCGAAGAGCTTCGAAACGGCCTTCCAAGGCCCTTGCGTCCTTATCGTGCGTCCTCGTGATACGGGCTAACTGTACCGGGCCTCGGGACCGTCAAAAACGGCTCAGGGTGAAGAGGCGGTGCCCAGGAAGGCATCCAGACCTTTTGGGGGCCCACGCCACCAAAACAGAGCGTGGCGTTGGAGGAGGGGGGGGTGGGCGGCGGCCGCCGTCCGCCGCTTCCTGCCGCCGCCTCCGCTCCGCTGCCTCAGACGGTCAATCACAGTAGTTGCCTGCTCGTTTTGGATTGAATGTACCAGGAAGCCGGATTCACAGGAGCGGCGGAAAAAAACGGGGTCGTCGGCGCCGACATTGGCGCGTAAGCTGCCCGAGCAGCTTCTGTGAGTTGTTTTCTAACGCTGCGCCGCCCCCCGCCCCGCCTCTGCTGCCAGCTGCCAGCCGCCGCCGTGCGGTCGCTGCCGAGCTCGGGCGGGGCCCGAGCGTGCCCCCGCCGAACGCCGTGTGAGGTCAGGGTCGCGATTATGCAAGGTAACCAGGTGGGGACCGGGTGGAGGCGTGGTGGGGGGGTTCGAAGCGAGTTCTAGGCCGACAGTTTCTGGGTGGGGGGCCCCTCCAGAAACAGGATCCAGGTGGGTGGGGGTGCCGGGGCCCGGTGGGGACGTGGGTTGCGGGCACGCCACAAGGCCCGAGGTCGGGGCTTGCACATACCCAGACACTCGGCGCTGCGGGAAGATCGGGACGGAGTTTTTTCATAGTTTTCGGCTCCTCGGGACCCTAGGGACCGTCAAAAAGCGGCTGGGGACGAAAAACTGGTCCCTGGGAAGTGGTCGAGAGCCCTTACCTTCCAGAGAGCTATCAAATAGCCCTCCAGACCTATAGACCTATCTGGACTGCCTCAAACGTCGACAGGAACTTCGGTGTCGAGTGTCGAGGTCCTGGTGCCACTTTTTTAGCCCTCCTGGAAGGTCAGGGAAGTCGGGGGCCCGTGCAGCGAGCAAATTGATACACCCGGTGTTTGGGTACCCACACCGCCGGGGGAGCCGGATGTTTTCACTGGACGGCGAGTCGAGGCAGCGGCAGGTGGCTCTCGCGGGGCCCCCCTCGTCGCCACGGCTGGGCGCGGCTCGGGAGACGGATGCATTTGGACACCGGGAGCGGCCAGGAGGGGGCTGATGATTGGGGGGGGGGATCTTATTGCGGGTGCGATGACATCTCCCCAGATTTCATGGCGCCTCTTCTTACTTTATGAAGTCCCCGCCCTCCCCCCCCCCTTTGGGCCGCGCACATGCCGCCGGCCATGATTTGCGCCCTCCCCCACTCTTGGTCGCCCCTTCTGCCCTCTTTGGAAGCCCCCGACATCTGGACCCCGGGAGGAGTCCGCGAGACCCCGGGAGGAGTCCGCGAACCAATATTGAGCTGCAGTTCTTTTGTCGGGGCTTGGAAATCTCCAGGGGGGAGGAGCGGTGGGGGGGCGGAAGACGGGCAGAGAAATGTGACAGACCAGTTGTTCATCGGCGATTCTCGGATGCGTCGAGCAAGTCGCGCAGGAGGTTCGGTTCGCCAGGGCGTCAACGACTTGGCCCACCGCATGTGAGACGCATACGGAAGGATGGGGGGAAAGAAGGGTGGAGGGATGAGAAGGGATGAGAGAAGGAGTGAGGACTGGGTCAGGAGAGCGGAGGAAGCATGAAGGGCGAATAAGGAGGAAGGAGAATGGAGGAGCAAAGAGAAAGGTTGGGCGGGGAAGAAAGCCCCATTCATCCTCCGCGTCCTCTTCCTTCGCCTCCTCCTGCGCCGCCTCCTCCTTCTCCTCCTCCTCCTCCTCCTCCTCCTCCTCCTGCTCCTCCTCCTCCTCCTCCTCCTCCTCCTCTGAATCCTCTTCCTCTTCGCGTCGTCATCCGCCTCCTCCTCCTTCGAAGACCGTTCTGTCCGTATGGAGGGCGGGGCGGGGTGCGGTGGGGCAGGAGGAGGTGGAGCGCGTAGCGGCTGCCAACGAAGATCGTCGGGCGGGGTGGGTTTGGCATCTAAGGGTAAGTCGGGCCTGTCCCTCTACAGGAGGAATGTTCAAAAATAGTCAGAACAATAATATGGGACGATTTCTTGACTAGTTTTTGTCACTCTGGGGCATTGTTTAGCTATGTTTAATGTTTCGTCCAAAACCCCCCTGTAGGAGGACAGGCCCGACTTCAACCTGAGGAGGTGCGTTCGGGACCCCCCTGCGCCGCATCCTCCTCCTCCTCCTCCTCCTCCTCCTCCTCCTCCTCCTCCGCCACTGAATCGTGTTAGGAGGTGGAGCGCGTAGCGGCTGCCAGCGAAAGATCGTCGGGAGGGGTGGGCTTGGCATCTACGGAGGTGTGCTCGGGGCCCCCCTCTAGCGATCCGAGGGCGACTTCAAAAGTCGTGTCGCCGTCACTCCAGAAGATAGTATGGCTGGCGCCGCAGGCAGCACCCCACAGGGTGTTGTTCAGGAGGGCAAGAGACATAGACACAATTCATCGTCGGTTCCCCCAGGAAAATATGGGAAAACATGGGAAGCGGGGGGGGGGGGGGGAAGACAGGAACCCAGACAATATGGGAGAATATAGGGGCATCCCTTTATTTGTGTCTATGTACTTGTGTGTCCCAGGGTCCCTTCAGTTGTTCGTGCTACTGTGGGCGCGCCGTCGGGCCAGTGGGGGCGATTCCCCCCAGCAGCGGGCCCTCGCAAATGCTTGTAGCTCTGATGGGGTTGAGCCCTGCGCCAGGACTCGCTGCTGGCCGCTTTGAGGCCCCCCGCACTTGTTCCGATTCCGTCGAAGCAGTCCCCAGCGGTTCTTGGTCTTGGTCTTGGTCCTCCTCTTCCTCCTCCTCCTCCGCCTCCTCCTCCTCCTCCAAGGCGGTCTCGGACGTTCTGGGCCCTCCCAAGCGCTTCCAAGCGCTGCCAAGCGCTCCCAGGTGTCCCCAGTCGATCACAAGCGCTTACAGAGTCTTGCAGGCGCTCACAGGCTCCTCCCAATCCTCATCCTCCTCTGCGGACGCAGCGGAGCTCTTGCCGTGAGGGCCACAGTCGGCGCGGGGGCCACCAGCACTTCGGGCTACTCGAGCTCCGTCTTCTCTTTTCCTCGACGCCCGAAACGGGGACGATGCCAAACCAAGCAGGACATGTTCGGGTATAGCCAGGACCCCAGGTAAGGGGACGCAGTTAGTAGTAGGGCCCTGGAGCCCCAAACTGGCCAGAATCACAAAGCCAGGTCTGCCGTAGCTGGTGTTTCTTTCGGGTGACGGCAGTTCCGGTTAGCGGGGCGGGGGGGGCGTCCCCCAGTACGCATCATTAAACCAGGTCCCACGAAACCCAGTTCTGCCAATGCCCGACATGTTGTCCCCAACCGACAGCGACCGCAGTTGGGCAGGCGCTCCCCGTTGCAAACAGACGGCGTCCGTGGCGAGTCTGGCATCGAATCTCAATCGCAGATGATACAGGATTGATGCCGATATTCCCACCCTTTCCGCCTGGATGTCATTCTTTCTGGCGCCCTCGTGTCGTTCTCCGCCTCTGCCGTCGGAAAAGTGGAGAAGCCCGCACGGGCATAGAGGAGCGCACAACGTTTCCTCCTCCTCCTTGTCTACCACCTCCCGTCCTCCTCATCATCACCACCGCTACCATCGTCATCATCATCACCACAACCATCATCGTCATCATCATGGGCATCACCAGCGTCACCACTAGCATCATCAACATAATCATCATAAGCATCCTCCTCACCAACATCCTCGTCATCCGCATCGTGATCATCAGCACCCGCCTCCTCATCATCATTATCGTCATCGTCACCGTCAGCACCAGCATCCTCATACGCATCGTTATCATCCTCATCAGCATCATCATCACCATCATCATCGTCAACATGATCACGCCACTGTCATCTAAGCGTGCGGCCAGACTGTTGCCCCCCCCAGGTACGGTCGATCATCGTCAACATGATCATCACCGTCATCATCTTCATTATCATCACCATCGCCATCACCACCATTATCATCATCACCACCATCATCATCATAATAATAATAATCATCATCACTATCATCATTATCATCACCATCACCATCATCATCACCACCATCATCATTATCATCATCATCATCATCATCATCAGCATCATCATCATCATCACCATCAACATCATCATCACCATCGTCATCATCGTCGCGGAGCACGGCGCAGCCGCTCCAAGCAGGGGGGGCCTGCGGGCATCTACCAGGCGGGGCCGGGGCCGCGGCCACGGGCGCGGCGCCGCCGCCATGGATCAGCAGGGGCCGAAGGACGGCTGGACGCCCGGGCGCAGCTCCCAGGCCGGCTGGACGCCCGGGCTCAAGTCTAGGCCTCCTAGATGGGGTCGGAGCAGATAGGGTCGGAGGATCGCGCCGCATCGCCGATACATCGCCGATGCGGCTCGATGTGGAGCCCGACTTGCTTTACGTCGACGTCGCCAATACATCGACGATGCATCGCCAGTGCATCGCCGATGCATCGCCGATGCATCGTCGATGTATCGGCGATGCGGCGCGGTCTTCCGACCCCACCTACTCCGACCCCATCTAGGAGGCCTGAATCAAGTGACGGGGGTCCGTGCAAGAGTCCGTTGTCCCTCATAGAGAGACTCTAGCAAGTTTACCTGCATGGAGGGGGAGGGGGGGAGTGCTGGCGAGACCCTAAAGGAAGTAGTATGAAGTTCACGCAAGTCGAAACTCACTTGCACGCTGCTTCGGCCCAGAAGGCGGCGGAGGGGGGAGGGGGGGGGCCAAATCCCATGCAACTGAACTTGCCAGAATTCGATCAAACACGCGCTCCAAACGGGGGTCAGACAGATTTCCGGATCTTGCAGGATCCTGCAGAGCCAGGGGTGCAATGACCCAGGTTTGGGTGCAGGATCCTTCGGGATCTTGCAGGATCCTGCAAAGCTTCATTGACCCGGGTCTGGATTGACCCGGGTCAGAAGGTCTCCGAGGGAGGGTGGAGTGACTCCAGCCCTCCTGGATGGGGTCGGAGCAGATGGGGTCGGAGGGTCGCGCCGCATCGTCGATGCGTCGGCGATGCGGCTCGGTGCGGAGCCTGACTTTCTCCACGCCGACGCCACCCGAGCAACGCCGACGTCGCCGGCGCATCGTTAATGCATCGCCGGTGCATGGCCGATGCATCGCCGGTGCGGCTTGATCCTCCGACCCCTTGTAGGAAGCCTGGAGTTCGGACGGTCCCGAGGCCCGGTAAGGGCTCACTTAGGCCGAAGATAACTAGAAAGTGCCCGTCGTGCTGCTCTCGTGGCGCGAGGGGGTCTGCGAAGCAGCGTCGGGGGTGCGTGGGCCGCGAGGGCGGCAGGTGGTGGCCTCGAGGTGGAGCGAACATCTCAACAGCATGGTCGCGCTCAGGAGGTGCGAGGAGGAGGAGGAGGAGGAGGAGGAGGAGGAGGCAATCTGCACGACCGAGATGGCGCCGCCCATTTTGGCCGCCCGCGTCACAGAGGCTCTGCATGGGGGCGGCGGTCGCGGCCCACGCGGGGGCATACCGGCCCCGTGGGGCCGCGGGGCCAGCACGGGGTCGCGCCGGCCCCGTGGGGCTCCCGAGAGGGTGCCCCCCGAGGGCTCCCGAGAGGGGTCGAGCAACAGAGTGGCGCGCAGTGGCGAGGAGGTTCCATCGGGGGCAAGAGGGGGCTCCGCGCGCCAGGGAGGGGGGCCCAGCGCCGATCCAAGGCATCCACGCGGAGCTCCGAGGGTGTCCTGTGATGCAATTCTTTGGGTTTCTGGCTCTCTGGCTCTGGTGTTCAGGATTCAGAGTTCGAGCACAATTCTCGGGGCGCCAGCATCGAGGACCCACGATCCAGTATTGGGAGGTGGGCCTGGTTTTCAGCAGTGTTGGTCGGATTGGGGCGGGATCGGGGGCGGCCAACAGGGGGGGCGAGGAGGAGGAGGAGGAGGAGGCGGAGGAGGAGGAGGCGGAGGAGGAGGAGGAGGAGGAGGAGGCGTAGGAGGAGGATGAGGAGGAGGACCAATGTAAATCCAAGAGTCATCAACGATGTTGGAATTCACCCTCCCTCCAAGCTCCCTCTTCACAGGCCCCTACAATGGTTCATGCCCATTGAGGGAATCGCCTCGTTGGAAGACAACCGTTTGAAGATCCTGAAGCTGGACCCCTTTGTCAGAAGCCAGGCGAAGGCTGGCAAACCCGTGGCTGCCACAACGGAGCTCTGGAAACTTGTTTCTCTCTTCTGGGAAGCAGCCCGCTTACCGTGCACTGCGCCGCGTCTTCTTCCTGGAATGTGTTTTTTGTTATTCCGGGGAGACCGTTTTAGCAGCCACGGATATGGCAGCCCTCGCCCAGCTTCCGGTTGTGGGCCACCCAGAACACCTCCACGCCGCACCAGAGCTCAGTATCGTTTGCGTAACCGACCCCCATCCCCATCCCCACCCCCTTCGAGACCCCCACCTAATTACTCCCCCAGTTGGGGATACACCCCTTGAAACCCGAAGGGAACGGTCTATATCCTTATCCAGGGGGGTAAATCGGCCAGCGGGGGCGCAGGCCACGCCGCTGAGGATAGGGACCTGATCAACGAGGCTCAAGAGCGACGACGTGCGGTGTCTGAGAGCCTGGCCTGCGCACGGGCACGGCGCGCACGGGCACGGCGCGCCGCGCGGCACCGCTTTCGCTCTCTGGGATGACGTCCGGCATGCCCCCTTTTTGTTGCAGGGGGGGATCTTCAAACATACTGTCACAGAATAGGCTGGTGACGATGTCATCAGCAGCTTTCTGATTAAAGTTACATTGTTTTTGCCTGTTTCGTCTTTTCCTTCCAATCCGCCTGTAGAGGGACATGCCCTAGGCCTCCTAGATGGGGTCCGAGTAGATGGGGTCGGAGGATCTCGCCGCGTTGCCGATGCATCGACGATGCGGTTCGATGTGGGCCCACGTCGACGTCGCCGATGCCTCGCCGACGTCGCCGATGCATCGCTGGTTCGTCGCCGATGCATCGGCGCTGCATCGGCGATGCGGCGCGATACTTCGACCCGATCTACTCGGACCCCATTTGGGAGGCCTCTACATGCCCGACCTAGTTCTGGGATGCTGGCCCAGCGCGGGCACGGCACCACGGCACGCGGGCAGTTCGTTGTGTTCGCCTTCCAGCGCGGGCACGGCACGCCTCGACTGCCCCTATTCTCGTGGACGCCAAAGGAGGGGGGGATGACTGGGGGGGGGATAATTCAAAAATGGTCACGAAATAGGTGGGGGACGATTGTTCTAGCACGTCGCGTTTGGTTAATGTTGAATATCTTTTGACGGTCTCGTCTGTTCCTTTCAAGGTCCGCCTGCAGAGGGACCTGCCCGACCCAGTGGCACGGCGCCACGGCACGCGGGCAGGCCGCCAGCACGCGCCACAGCACGCGGGCACGCGGGCACGGCGCCACGGCACGCCTCGTCTTCCCCCCCTCTTCTAGAATCGGGGGCGGCGAACCCAGACCTCCCCCTCGAGTAATGAAACAAGTCGTGGCGCGAGAGGTTTTGTCACTTACGGCATCAAGGGGCCCTCGCTGGGCCTCGGGGCCGTCAAGAAGCGGTTCAGGATGAGGAACCGGTGCCGGGGAATGGGTCGAGACTTCTGGGGGTCGACGTTTTGAAAAAATCATTCCGTCAGGGATCTGGGAAGAGGGGGGTGATGACTAGGGGGGGTGGGTATCAGGGCGGGGGCCATGATAGCTCCACAGATTTCATGACGCCTCGTCCCACTTCAAGACGTCCCCGCCCCCCCCCCCCCTGGGCCGCGCACGTGCCGCTGGCCACGATTTGCGCCCCCCCCCTCTTGGCCGTCCCCGATGGGATTCAGGCGCGGCGCGACAAGCGCGCGCGGCACGTCACGCTAGTCGGCGGCGAACGAGGGGGGGAAGTGAGAAGGAGAAGGCCTTCTCAGAAGGCCGCGGGGCGTCTCAGATGCCCTCGCGCCTTCTGAGAGGTTTTTCCACAATCAGTGCTTGCATTGAAGGGGTCCTATAGCGGAAGTTGAAGGATTTGGCGAAAGTTTCCCGCCGATTTTGGTAGCAGGCTGAGTTCCCGGGTTCCCAGTTCCAGGGTTCCCGGTCATTGGTTCCGGGCCGATTTCAGTGGGTTCTGGGTTCCCGGGCTCCCATGTTCCTGGTCGATCTCCTCAGCGAAAACTATCCACTGATTGGGGCTTATCTCTGGTGTAATTTTTGACTTCGGGGAAGGCTCTGGAACTTTCTCAGAAGGCCGGGGGACTTCCGAGGCTTCCGAGAAGGCCTTCTCCTTCTCATTTCCCCACCCACCCCGCTCGCCGCCGAGCTAGCTTCCCCCATTCTGAGATTCAGTCAACGGCGCGGGCACCGTACGAAGCGGCATTCTCGGGTGGCCCATGCCGTGCGCATGATCTTGTGGTCCAGAGGCGGGCTCTCTCTCTCTCTCTCTCTCTCTCTCGCTATCACAAGGCATGCGGGCCCCTTGCAGCAGCCGTTTTTTGAGGACACGTCGCGAGGGTCGGCTACTCCTCAGCTGGGGCCTCTCGTCATGGCGCCAACATCGCAGGGCGGATGTCTTTCGGAAAAAGATAAAGTGGGCCCGGAGTGTCCTGGAGAATTTCGTTCCGGACTTCGAGGTTAATTTCGTGCGGATTTTTTGGGGCCAGGAATGAGAACCAAAAAGAATCCACGCGAAATTCACTTCGTTTTTCGCTCGCCGTTTCGGGCAGAAATCCAACTAGAAATACTCTGCAGCACGTCTGCAAGGCCGGAGCAATGACCTCTGGGGGCCCGTCTCAGTCACCAGGACGGAGCATCTACGAAAAACGATCGAGGATGAGCAGCTGGTCCCCAGGAAAGGGACGAGAGGTCTTGGGGCCCACCACCGGTCTGTCCCCCCAGACCCCCGACGTCGTGATTTTGTCCATGACGTGTTTGGACCCATTTCCCGGGACCGGCTGTTCTTCCCGAGTCCTTGTCTGACGCCTCCATAGCACCAGGGAAGGGCCACCGCACAGGCCAGGAACAGCCACAGACAGTCGCGCCATTATTCCGTCATGGCCCGAGGGGGGCCTGCGTCTGCACCCGGCCCCGGGCCTCGCCACGGGGCCCGGTCGGGCGGGGGAGCAGATCTATATGCCCCCCCCCCCGCCGCTCGCGCGAGGGCGACTCGGCCGAGGCCCTGGATGCGTTCGGGGAGCGCCAGTCGCACCAGCCCTTCGGGGCGCGCCAGTCGCAGTCGCTGCGTGCTGGCCAGAACCTCGCCCGCGCCATCGCGAGCAGGAGGAGGAGCTCGGAGGGAGGGGTAGAGGGGTGGTAAGTCTTGCCCTTGCCCTGGATCCTGACCCCGGAGGCCCCAGGAGGCCCCTGGAGGCCCGAAAGTGGCACAAAAACGTCCAATAGCCGTCCGAAAACGTTCGAGTTCTCTCATCCCCAGATCATTGGGTACCGATGTGTTTCGGTCGCGATCGTTAGCGTCCGATCGACACATCGAATCGGTCGCGACCGATCCCCAAATTGGTCGCGACTGGTCGCCACCGATCGCCACCGATCGGTCGCGACCGATCGGTCGCGACCGATTCTGAAGCAAACCGGTCGCGTTCCTCATTCCGTGTCTTCTCCTCCTCGTTTTTTCTACCTCCTCCTTCTTTTCCTTCTTCTCATCTCCATCCCGCCTGTTCTCCTCATGCACTTCTCTCTCCTTCTGGCCGTGGCACGCATGTCGACTTTCCTCGGAGCTCGCGCCGACACGGCCAGAAGCGGCGCGTTCTCCGATGGCCGGATCTCGAAACCGTTGAGGCAACCCCGCGAGCCGCCGGGGCGCGGGAGCCAGCCGTTGGGGCAACCCCGCAGGCCTCGAGGTGTTCGCGGCCGCGCTCGGGCGGGAGGACGCACGAAACCCAGCTTTGCCGCGAGACGCTGCGCTTCAGCCGTGGAGTTCACCGTTCTCTTGTCGAACTCCCCGAGCGGCCGCAGGATGAGCATGTTCCGCAGGCGCGTGGCGCGGGAAAGCATAACGTCGAAGTGCCGCCGCCACTGCTCGTCCGACGTGCCCGTGCGACCAGCGTCTTCGTCCCTGGCGCAATCGATGGCGACGCCACTGCGCAGCGTCTGACCGCGAGACAGCGTGGAAGCCAAGCAGGACGCGTGCGTCAGGTCGAGGAGGGGGCCCCCGCTCGAGGACTTCCTGACAATTCGCCTTTCCAGGCGTTCCCTTGGGGCGTTTAAGAGCGACGCCTGCTAGGGCGGTACGCCGATGACACGCATCGGATTCGAACACGAAGCGCGGGGCTCTCAGGGAGGGGGGCTTTCGCACGAGCCTCCCTCACAATTCACTCACCGACGAGGCCCCTTCTGTGGTGCTCAAGTGATTCGCTTGATATGGTAGGCCGATGACCCACCCGCTCCGGATTCGAACATGAAACGCGGTGTCTTTAGGGAGGGGGCTCCCGATCGAGACGTCCTCACATGCCACCCACAGTCAAGGTCCTTGGGGCGCTCGAAGGTTATGCGTGCTATGCTACGTCGATGACCCGCCGTGGATTCGAACATGAAGCGCGTGGCCCTTAGGGACGAGGTTCCCGTTGGAGAGTTCGTCACAACGTACTAGCTGACGAGGCCTTTTGGGTGTTTGAGTTTTCACGTTTGCTACGGTACGCGGATGGCCCGCCTCGAACTCAAAGGTGAAATGCGGGGCACTTAGGGAATAGGGCTCCCGTTGGAGATTTTCTTTGAATGCGTGCACGGACGAGGGTGCACGGAGTGCCCTAGTGCTTTCTTTGCTGTGATATGCCGATGACCCGCCCCGGATTCGAACATGAAGCGCGGGGCCCTGAGCAAGGGGGCTCCCGCTCTAAACTCACTCACGTTCTATTCACAGCCGATGGCGGGTGGCCGATAATCACAGTGGCATGGTGATAGCGATGATACTGTCAGTTATGGTTGTGATGGTGATGCTCGCAGATGGTTGATGAGTGATCGTGCGGCAATTCGGGTGCTGTTGATGATGACGATGGTAATGTGGACGGTGGTGATGACCATGGCGTCATGACGAATGGGCGACAGATGAGTGAATGTGAGTGATGGAGAGACCATGGTGGATGATGTTGATAATGAGAATGATGATGATGATGATGATGATGATGATGATGATGATGATGATGATGATGATGATGATGATGATGATGATGATGACGGTGGTGGTGGTGACGATACGGCCGGTGATGATGGAGGGGATGCTGATAATGTTGATGATGTTGAGTGCGCAAGTGTGAATGCATGAGTGTGTGAGTGTGCGAGGGTGGACTAATGTGAGGAACCCCTGCGCAACAATCAATGGTTGTGGCCTCCTCGGGCTCTCCAGAAAACAAAAAAAACTCTTGGAGCTCTCACGGGCCGTCTTGGGGACCTCTGGGGCCGTCTTGAAGCCTTCTTGGGTTATCTCGAGCCGTCTTGAAAGGTTATTGAGGTGCCTTGGGCTGTATTGCGCCGCTGTGTCGTCGTCGCGGCTGCCTTGGAACCGTCTTGGAGGCCATTCTGACCGTCTGGAGGTCGAACAGACCATTAGAAAGCAGGTTCCTATTGGGGCGCGCGCGGCGAGGTGGGGTCCTTACAGCGTCCCAGCACCTCCCACCAGACAGCAGCGCATTCTAACACGCCCACTCCGTGCAGGCACGGTGACGGGTTAAGCATCTTAGAGATATGCGACGCGCAGAAACAAAAAGGCTTCAAGCGTCAGCCGGAACTTCACACTGGAACAGAACATATCAACAACAATATTGCCCGCCGTCCGCCCGCACAGCTATCCGAAGTCCCAGGCCTGGGGGCCACAGGGCGTGGGGGACTGCCCGGGGAAACGTCCAGATCGCCGCGCCGACGCGACCAGCGACGCGACAAGGTAGATGTGTTCCTATTTTGCACCTCCAATGTGTGCGAGCGTCCTCTTACGTAGTTTTTCCATTTGCCTGTCTCCGCCGCGCTGCTGCGCGCATGGCCGCTACGCCAAAGCACGCTTGTGCTGGCGTGTGTCAGTGTGTTCGTTCTGGGCGCCCACAGGCAAACATCCTGCCAGGTAGCGTGGGGCACCCCGTGGAAGCGTCCCCGCATGACGCAGGCTGGTGATTTCAGGAACTGGTCCAGGTCGTGTTCATCTGGCGGCACCCGAAGAGATGAGTAAATCAACGCCCCCCCCCCGCCCTCCTCGGGCGCGCGTTTGGATGGCTGATGGTCCAGACGGAGCCGAAGCGAAGAGAAAACCGAAGATTCTGCACTTCCGTTGTTAATCGTCCCCCAATCACAGTTTTTTATCAACCGCGATATTGTATTCTATCTTCTTTCGGGCGCCCTGAGGGCGCCCCAAGGAAGCGTCCCATCCCACTCCTCTCTCCGATGCTCCTCCCGCTCCACGGCCTCTCTTCTGCCCCTCCCCTTCCCCTCCCGCCCTCCTCCCGCTGCCCCGCCCTCTTCCCGCACACGCCCCTTCTGAGAGTGGGGCGTCGCCGCCTGGCGAGCGCGCTGGAGAGCGGCAGCTGGCGAGCCGCGCTGCTGTCGCCTTGGGCCCGAGGTAGACCCGCGCTCCGCGGAGTGACCCACCTGCCTTCCCGCACGCGCTCCCCTCCCCTCGCGCGAGGAAGGGGTGCAGAAGGAGGGGGAGAAGGAGGACGGATGGGGTAGAGGGGTACGCGCTCACGCACACTCAAGACGTGGGCGCCCTGTGCAACGGCAGCTTGGCGGGCCTGGTGTCTAACACGGCCCCCTGCGGCAGCGTGGAGGCCAGCAGCGCCCTCGCGATCGGGCTTATCGGCGCTTTTGAGCGCAGACCCTGACATCCGACGCTGCAGAACAAATTCAACACTGCGAAGAGACATGACCGGGGCCCTGGACACCACATTTGAGCGCCATTGATTCGAGCCGGATCGATATGAGGTGCATGGTTTTGGGGCCCGGAGCGGGACGAAGTCACCTGGTGCGAGAAAGATTGGAATGCCAAGAGCTCAGGGCGGGCAGGGTGGGGGGGAGGGGACCAGAGAGAGCAAAGGGGGGAGAGAGAGAGGGGAGGGAGCGAGGAGCGAGGAGGCGGGAGAGAGAGGGGGGAGGGAGGGAGGGAGGGAGGGGGGGGGAGGGAAGGGAGGGAGAGGAGGGGGAGGGGGGGGAGGGGGGGAGCGTTGTAGGTGTGCGTGATCCCCGAACCGTTCCCCCCTCTTCGCTGTGCCGCGGCCCTTCTCGGTTCGCAAGGTGCGTCGATAGCAGGTACTGTATTGATTGGAAGCCCTGCGGAGAAGGATAACACCTTCACCATCGTCCTGCTTTCACCGTTATCGCTCGCTTCGGCGGGTACTCGGGAGGGGGTAGGCCTTTCGGTCAACACTTCCCTCCCACAAGAGGGGGGGCGCTCGAGGAGCAGGCGAGGAAGAGAGGGGGGGGGAGAAGGGGGGGGGAATGCGAGAGGGAGGGCGGACTGGAGGAGTGCGAGGGGATGGCGGCCTCCAGGAGCATGCAGCCGAGCAACAGCATGGTCCCCATCCACAGCGAGGCTCGGCGGCGAGAGCCGAACCCTCGCCGACCAATGAGCCGGGCAACCCGATGATCGGGCCGGACGAAAGGGGGGGATTGGGAAAGGGGGGGTACGAAATTTGCTGCATGCAGCTGGTTTCGGCCTCACCGAGGGGCCCATTCCTCGATGCATAGCTCCATCCGGCGCCGGGAGGCGCCGGGAAAATCAGCTACGTGAGCTGATTCTCAACCCCCCCCTTTGCTATCCCCCCCTTTTGCCCGACCCGAGATGAGCGGTTGCGCATCTCAACTTCTCCGATTCCGATGGTTTTTGGTACCGACCAACGAGCTCGGCAACCCGATGCGGTTCGGTTCGATTTCGATGGCTTCCGGTGCCGAGTCGGTCCGACCTCGGTTTCCGACTTGGGTGCCGATTTCTCATTGCAGTTCTACCAGTGTGCCGACGTTCGCCGATCCGACTTCCCTCGACTCGGCTGCCGATTTCTGCCGATCCGAGTCTTTTCGATCGCCGATCCGATTTACCGATTCGGATATGGGTTCTCTGTTGCTCTGACAACCCGATGGGCGGCGAGGGTCGGGTCCGGAATCCATCGAACACGCGGCGGAAGCCGAACCCCCACAGTGGAGACCCATGCCAAAAAGCACCCTGCTTGCCTCCAGGGTGCCCTGGGTTTCCTGGGCTTCTATACGTAGCTGTTCTACGAAAGGCGCCACGTTCCCACACCAGAAACCACTGGGCTTCCTGGGGTCTCAGGGTTGGGCTTCTTGTGGAAGGTTTCTTGTGGACTGGCCTCCACTGTACCGCTCGTCCTCACCATAGATTTCGATTGTGGGTGTGTCACCGGCTCGTCCTGGCAATCGAGACTCCGGGATCGAAGCCCGAGGAGGCGTGTGGAGGCCTGGGCGCGTTTTGGAAGGCTCTCGAGGGTTGGATTTCCTGTGGACGGTTTCTTGTGGACGGGCCCCCACTGCACCCGCGCCTCCCACCGACTCAGGAGGATCGATGGTCGGTGGGGGTGGGCGCGGGGCGCGGGCTCTGCGGGGCGGGGCCAGAGCAGGAAGGAGCATCGTGCCAGAGCGCTCCAGGATGAGAAGGGGAGGGGGAGGAGGAGGAGGAGGAGGAGAAGGAGGAGGAAGAGGAGGAGGAGGAAGAGGAGGAGGAGGAGGAGGAGGAGGAGGAGACGGAGGAGGATGAGGACGAGGACGAGGAGGAGGAGAAGGAGGAGGAGGAGGAGGTGGAGGAGGACGACGACGACGAGGACGACGACGACGAGGACGTGGACGAGGACGAGCGCTCGGCTGGGGTGGGTTCGGTGTCGATTCGCCTCGAATCGAATTGGGACAAGGGCCGTTGCCTCGTCGATCTGGCCTGCTGCAGGGAAGCACCAGGGATACCTGGCTCGTCGACCTGCACTCATACTTCTCTATCTGGCATTCCGATTGCAGCCTGCGGCATTCGCACAGGCAGCAGACATTCGAAACACGAGAGAACTACTGAACACAACTAGCCCTCAGAGTGTACAAGAGCTCTGTGTATGGAGGAGGAGGAGGAGGAGGAGGAGGGTGGAGGAGGAGGACGGAGAAGGAGGAGGAGGAGGAGGACGGAGGAGAGAAGTGAGGGAGGAGGAGGAGGACGAGGAGGAGGAGGAGGAGGAGGAGGAGGCACCTAGAGGTCATCTCCCCGGCCATCAGCAGCGCCCAGTCCGTGGCCGAGGGCGACGTGCGCCGGGGAGCTCTCGAAGCTGCCGAGGGCGGGACCCCAGACACCAGTCGTCTCGGGAAGATCGGCCCCGTTGGCATCGCTCGGACGTGTGCATCTTTTCTCGGCGAGGACCATCGAGGAGCATCCTGGATCATCGCGTCGCGCAACAAAGACGTGCACGAAATCGAAACCCGAGCGATGGTGAGCGGCGCGGCCGAGTTTCTGTTGGTCTCTCTTCTCTGGGAACGTTTGCGCCCGGTTTCGGGCCACGGGGCCGTCACGTATCGATGCAGTTCGACCCAACGACGCGGAAAGATGGGGTCCAGCGTCCCGGTCACGAGTGGTGTCGCGATGTTGCTATATCTCCGTGTGCATATACATATAACGGCGCACCGGGTCCGGGGGCCTGGGGCCGGGACCCCGACCACAAATGTGGGCCCCGGGGGGCCCGGAGGCTCGTCGGACCGCTGGACGCCGTCCAAGATCGTTCGCAGGCGGCTTCGGAACGCGCTCCGATGGCTCCAGATGCCTTCCAAGACGCCTGTCATGACACCAAGAAGGTCCCAGAAGCCTCCAAGACGCTCCGAGAGGCAGCCCAAGAGAGGCCCAAGAAGCAAAAATCGTGCCATTCCTATGGGAAAACGTATATTTTTCGCATGTTCGCCTCTTGGGCTTTCACCGCGTCCAAGACGGCCCAAGAGGCGCCCAAGACGGTCTACGAGGCCTCCGGGAGCGCTCCAAGGCTGCGCACGAGTGGCCCAGGACGGCCCCAAGACGGCCGAAGAGAGCCCCAAGACGAGTTCGAGAGGGGTCCCAGACGGAGAAAGCCAACCTCGAATTCCGAGCTTCCGGCCCAAGAGGCTTCAGGAGGCGCCAAAATGCCGCCAAGAGGCGCCAAAAGGCTCCTAAAAGCACCCCAAGACGTTCCGAGAGGCACCCCAAGAGAGGTCCAAGAAGCAAAAATCGTGCCATTCCCATGGGAAAACGTATATTTTTCGCATGTTCGCATCTTGGGCTTTCACCGCGTCCAAGACGGCCCAAGAGGCCTCCAAGACGGCCAAGGAGGCCTCCGGGAGCGCTCCAAGGCTGCGCACGAGTGGCTCAGGACGGCCCCAAGACGGCCCAAGAGAACCCCAAGACGACTTCGAGAGGGGTCCCAGAAGGAGAAAGCCACTCTCGAATTCCGAGCTTCCGGCCCAACATATCCCAGGAGGCGCCAAAACGCCGCCCAGAGGCGCCAAAAGGCTCCCAAAATCAGCCCAAGACGTTCCGAGAGGCACCCCAAGAGAGGTCCAAGAAACAAAAATCGTGTCATTCCTATGGGAAAACGTATATTTTTCGCATGTTCGCATCTTGGGCTTTCACCGCGTCCAAGACGGCCCAAGAGGCCTCCAAGACCGCCCCAAGACGGCCCAAGAAGCTTCCAAGAGGGCCCCAGGACAGCCCAAGAGGGCCCCAAGACGGCCCAAGAGGCGCCCAAGATGGCCCAAGAGGGCCCCAAGACGGGCCCAAGAGGGGGCCCAGAGGGGGACCACGAACCGCAAGCTCGAGCCTTCCGCCCCAAGAGGCCGCCAGGAGGCCCCAAGGAGGCCCCTCAAGAGGCCCCAGGAGACCCCCAAGAGGCCCAAAGGAGGCCCCGAGAAGCCCCAAATCGGCCCCCAAAATGCTTCGAACCTGCTTCCAGGAGGCCCCCGACAGGTTCAGAGGCTCCCGAGAAGCTACGTCAAACTCCCAGCGAGCGGCCGGACGAGGCCCCCCACAAAATCACAAGAGGGTTCCAGTATTTGTATCCTTCAGCGCTCTCTGGCCTTCTTCCCCCTGCCCCCTTCCTTGCGACTTTCGTTGACTCAAGCTCGCCTCCTAGCTAGAACCTAAGCGCGCGCGAAGCGCGCGCGTGGTTCCAGCTAATATTTTTATATATATATATACATACATACATACATACAGACATACATACATATAGACACACATATATATACACACATATATATATATATATACACATATGCATATGTTTGTATATGTATACACATACATACATACAAACATATATACATATATATATATATATATAGTATGCAGCGATGGACCTCAGGGCATGCGCTCAAAGGCGCCGACAGGCCCGATCGTGAGGGCGCTGCCGGCCTCCACCCTGCCGCAGGGGGGCGTCCCAACGTGCTCTGCGATGGCGCAGTTTTTTTGGGGGGGGGCGCGTCGGATCTCAGGCTTCGGCCTCTACGGGGCCCGCGGCGCGGGCGGGCCCGCCGGCCGTCCATGACGACTGCTGCGGGAGGGGGAAGGGGCGGGCGCGGGGAGGTGGTCGAGAGGTCGGGGGGCCGTGTCTCGGCTACACTTAGGTCGGGCCTGTCCCCCTACAGGGGGGACTTTGGACGAAAAGTAACAAATAGACCAACATACGCTAAAAATATCCAGAAATACTTTAAACATTGTCCGCATATGATTTTTGCCTTATTTGTCCCAACCATCCTGTGGTGTTGGGTCTTCGTTTTGAAGAGACAGCGCCCCGCGTCCCTCCCTCCCTCCTCGTCCTGCTCGTCCTCCTCCTCCTCCTCCTCCTCCTCGTCCTGCTCGTCCTCCTCCTCCTCCTCCTCCTCCTCCTCCTCCTCCTCCTCCTCCTCCTCCCTCCTCCCTGCGTTTCACCCACCCAGTGCAGCGTTTCGTGGCCCCACAGGGAGCTCCACCGAAGGCCCCAGTGGCAGGGTTTGCATGGCGGCCCCGCTCCATTGTCGCACCCCTCGCACGGCTCGTGGCCCCAAAGGGGGCTCCACCGAAGGCCCCAGTGGCAGGGTTCGCATGGCGGCCCCGCCCCATTTTGGCGTAACTCCTCACACGGTTCGTGTCCCCATAGAGAGCTCCACCGAAGGCCCCTGTGGCAGGGTTCGCATGGCGGCCCCGCTTCATTTTGGCGCACCCCTCACATGGTTCGTGGCCTCATAGGGGGCTCCACCGAAGGCCCCAGTGGCAGGGTTCGCATGGCGGCCCCGCTCCATTTTGGCGCACCCCTCGCACGGCTCGTGGCCCCAAAGGGGGCTCCACCGAAGGCCCCAGTGGCAGGGTTCGCATGGCGGCCCCGCCCCATTTTGGCGCAACCCCTCACACGGTTCGTGGCCCCAACGGGGGCTCCACCGAAGGCCCCAGTGGCAGGGTTCGCATGGCGGCCCCGCGCCATTTTGGCGCAACTCCTCACACGGTTCGTGTCCCCATGGAGAGCTCCACCGAAGGCCCCTGTGGCAGGGTTCGCATGGCGGCCCCGCTTCATTTTGGCGCACCCCTCGCACGGTTCGTGGCCCCATAGGGAGCTCCACCGAAGGCCCCAGTGGCAGGGTTCGCATGGCGGCCCCGCCGCGGCCCCGCCCCATGTTGGCGAACCCCTCACGCGGTTCGTGGCCCCACAGGGAGCTCCACCGAAGGCCCCAGTGGCAGGGTTCGCATGGCGGCCCCGCGCCATTTTGGCGCACCGCTCACACGATTCGTGGCCCCATTGGGAATTCCTTTTGATTCGTCCCACCGGCCCTGCGCTTCTCACACTTTCGTATGGTTGGGTCCTTCGCCAGGATACTTGAATTTTCCTCCTGTAGAGGGACATGCCCGACTTGAGGTTACACGTACAGTGTGGACCCGTGCCAAGCAACACCCAGTGCTTGCTTCCAGGGTGCCCTGGGCTTCTCGGGTTTCGATGGTTTGGTTGTGGAAAGCGTGACGCTCCCACACCAAGAATCAATGGACGTCCTGGGGTCTCAGGGTTGGGTTTCTTGTGGAAGGTCTCTTGTGAAGACACCGAGCGCATTCCACTACTCGCAAAGTGTCTCCTCGCAAACGTCGGGAAAAACGTCAGCCTCGAGGTTATGGATCGCAAATCCCCCTCGGCGGATCCAGGCCCTTTGCGAACGGTTACGTTGCGAGTAGTGGAAAGCGACTGCCTAATAAGAGCGACGCTTCGCCGGAGTGGCCTCTGGTGCTGGCGCATTGGGCCCCCCCGATCGCCGAACGCGATGCCACAGTAGCGTCCTGCGGGCCTGTGTTGAGTCCCCCCGCGGCCCCATAGAAGCTGCGCGCCAGAGGCCACTTTTTACCAAGGGTCACTCTCGCGTGTACCCCAAATCCCTTCTCAATCGACCCCCCCCTAAAAAACCAGACCCCCCTCCAAATGCGACCTAAACCTAATACTCTGGACCCCTCTTTTCGATGGGGCGCCTTAAGAAACCAGACCCCCTGAGCTCCAATCCAAAGAATGCACCGGACCCCCCCAATTACAAAAAAGCACTTCAAAAAGCCAGACCCTGGGGACGATGAATGTATAAGGAATTTGGAGTAGACGAGCGTTGCGAAGAGATCGAGGCGCTGGCCGTCTGGGGATCTGCTGCAAGGGGGGGGGGGGGCGGACCGGGCCGAGCAAGCAGGGTTTCCCCGGGGCGCCCTGCCGGACCCCTCCGACGTCGTCGTTTGGAGTTTCCAGGGAGCGTCTCGGGGGCCTATATTATATGGTCCAGGGTCTGCCCTCCCCCCCACCACCCCACCAGATGGCATGGTGTCCAGCCCTCACATGCGTGTCCCCCCGCCCCTCCCCCCCGTGTGGGTGTGACGTGGTATGGTGGTGTGGTGGTTTGCGCGCGTGCGTGCGTTCGTACGTGCGTGTCCCCCCGCCCCCCCCCTGTGGGTGTGGCGTGGTGTGGTGGTGTGCTGTGGTGTGGTGGTTTGCGCACGTGCGTAAGTGTCCCCTCCCTTTGCGTGTCGTATGGTGTGCTGCGTGGTGGTTGAGTGTGTGTGTGTGTGTGCGTGGTTGTGTGTGCGTGTGCGTGTGCGTGTGCGTGTGCGTGTGCGTGTGCGTGTGCGTGTGTGCGTGTGCGTGTGTGCGTGTGCGTGTGTGCGTGTGCGTGTGCGTGTGCGTGTGCGTGTGCGTGTGCGTGTGCGTGTGCGTGTGCGTGTGCGTGTGTGCGTGTGCGCGTGCGCGTGCGCGTGCGCGTGCGCTTGCGCAGCGCGTGCGCGTGCGTGTGCGTGTCATGTGCGTGTATGTTTGCGTGTGCGTGCGCGCGTGCGCGTGCGTGTGCGTGTGCGTGTGCGTGTGCGTTTGCGTGTGCGTTTTGCGTGCCGTGTGTGGTGCGTTGCGCGTGTGAGCGTGTCGTGTGCGTGGCGTGTGAGCGTGTGAGAGTGGAGTCGTGTGCGTGTGGGTGGGGTTGGGGGGAGTGGGGGGTGGGGGATGGGGGGGGGTGGGGGTGTAGGGGTGTGAGGGTGGGGGGTGTTTGGGGTGTAGGGGTGTGGGGGTGGGGGGTGTGGGGTGAGGGGGGGAGGGGGTGTGGATATGGGGGTGTGGGGGTGTGGGGGGTGGGGGTGTGGGGTGTGGGGGTGTGGGATGTGGGGGTGTGGGGGTGGTGGGGGTGTGGTGTGTGTGTGTGCGTGGGTGTGTGGGTGTGTGGGGGGTGTGGGTGTGTGTGTGTGTGTGGGTGTGTGTGTGTGTGGGTGTGTGTGTGTGTGTGGGTTTGTGTGTGGGTGTGTGTGGGTGTGTGTGGTCGGGTGTGGGTGGGTGCGGGTGGGTGTGGGTGGGTGTGGGTGGGTGTGGCTGTGTGTGGGTGTGTGTGGGTGTGTGTGTGGCTGTGTGTGTGTGCGTGTGTGGGTGTGTGTGTGTG